CCAGAGTGATTCCATGATTCTGGTGCTTGTCAGCAGTCACCCCATGTGATGACTGGGGGGTTTCTGAATGGCTGTGAGCCAGTTTCTGCTCTTCTCCTCTAGGAGGACCTTCTGCACGTCCCCCAGTCTGCCAGTGCACGGTGTGGGAGGGACTTTTGTGCTTTCACCTTTGTTTTTCACAAGTTCTCCTGGTGCAGGGGGAGGCTGAGCGTAGGGCTGGGCAATGCCCAAGACCAGTGCCACCATGATTGAAGATGTCACATCTCCACTGCCCCACCAAGAGCCACCCCACTTGGAAACTCCCATCAGCCCTGCTTTGCACCTACATTTCCACCCTTTGGGCTGAAGCCACCTCCTGGGCTGCAGCCAGGAGCTTCAGCACTGGTGGACTGAGGTGCTTGAGGAGACCCAGGGAGATGCTGTGTCGTGTTTTGGTGCAAGCTCACACACAAGGTGTACCTGGTACCTGTGTTCTCAGAGCCTTCACGTGACGTGGCTCTGGTGAGCTCCTGAAGACACTTGTTGGCTGCTCTCAATCAGCTTTCCCTCTCTGCCCTCTTCTCTTCTGTGAGGAGAACATGATGCACCAAGTGATGAAACAGGATGAGATTTCTCTGCAGCCTTTCCCTTTGAGGTGGCCGTGCCTCATCTGCCTTCTGGTGGGAAGAGGAGGTGACTCTGTGGGAGATCTTCTCTTACTGCTCTCTTCTCTCCTCGCAGGTGTTTACAAAATATGGGAAATGCTACATGTTTAACTCAGGAGAAGAAGGACGGCCCCTTCTCACCACGGTGAAGGGTGGGACAGGCAATGGACTGGAGATCATGCTAGACATACAGCAGGATGAGTATCTCCCAATATGGGGAGAAACAGGTAAGACCTTCTTTTGCCTCCTGCATACGTGCTTGTACTGGTGATTTTTGGGGGGATCCTATCCCATCCCATCCCATCCCATCCATCCCATCCCATCCTTCCCATCCCATCCCATCCCATCCATCCATCCCATCCATCCATCCCATCCCATCCCATCCCATCCATCCCATCCCATCCCACCCCATCCATCCCGTCCCGTCCCGTCCCGTCCCGTCCCGTCCCATCCCATCTCATCCCATCCCATCCATCCCATCCCCATCCCATCCCATCCCATCCCATCCCATCCCATCCCATCCACATCTCATCCCATCCCCTACCACACTATCC